TAGTGAGTGCATATTTCTTAACTCTGAGAGGTAAAATTGTTTGTTTACGGTTTCTCTTTTCTCCATTTTCCAAACATAAGAAGACAAACTGACTCGAACACGTGTATATCGTCTGATGGAAACAGACATATTATGACAGCGAAATAAGGCCAGAGCAAGTAGTGACTCTGGGACACAATTAGCTGTAGGATAGCGCCATACACACCCACTGTTACTGTACAGTTGCACTGTGAGCTATCTGTACTCTCCTATCTGTATTCCCCTACCTGTAATCTCCTACCTGTATTCCCCTATCTATAATCTCCTACCTGTATTCCCCTATCTATAATCTCCTACCTCTAATCCCCTATCTATAATCTCCTACCTGTATTCCCCTATCTATAATCTCCTACCTCTATTCCCCTATCTATAATCTCCTACCTCTATTCCCCTATCTATAATCTCCTACCTGTATTCCCCTATCTATAATCTCCTACCTGTATTCCCCTATCTCTAATCTCCTACCTCTATCCCCTATCTATAATCTCCTACCTGTATTCCTTTATCTATAATCTCCTACCTGTATTCCTCTATCTATAATCTCCTACCTGTATTCCCCTATCTATAATCTCCTACCTCTATTCCCCTATCTATAATCTCCTACCTGTATTCCCCTATCTATAATCTCCTACCTGTATTCCTTTATCTATAATCTCCTACCTGTATTCCTCTATCTATAATCTCCTACCTGTATTCCCCTATCTATAATCTCCTAACTGCATTTCCCTATCATTCATGTATTCCCCTATCTGTACCCTCCTACCTGTGGGCCCCTATCTATAAGCTCCTGCAGGTACGCTCTTGTCTGTACCCTCCCATCTGTAGGCCCCTATGGGAAATTACCTACCGATAGGCTTCTATCAGTAATCTGCTACCTGTAGGTCCATATCTACAATCTTACATATAGCTGTTAACTTCGATCTCCTTTATGTTCCCCTTTCATATAATCTCCTACCTCTCTCTGTATTGGACAGTTTGTGTTTCAACGAAACACGACCTATTCTTCAGTATAACGCCATCTCCAGAGACCTAATTCGTTTTCTTTTTGCTTGTTCATTGTCCAAGTTTCAGCACCATACAGCAGGACTGAGTAGACATAACATTTGACGATTCTCATTTCGGTGATTATTTATCTCTCTAGCTGTCAGTAACTTGCCTTTCTTATTGAAGACAGTTTTGGCCATTCCTTTTCTTTTTTTTTTAATTGCCCTGTCACTTCTTCCATCATCTGTTACTACGTTTCCTAGATAGGAAAAACTTGTTACTTGTTCTAATAACTCCGTTTCCTGTGATGTTCATTGTTGTCCGCTCCTTTAGTTTTTAATTTGTCGAATGTTGAAGTGTAAACCCTACTCTGCACTCCACCCGCTGACTTGATCCACTAGTTCTTGTAACCTCTGCCTGCACTCCACCCTTTGACTTGATCCACTAGTTCTTGTAACCTCTGCCTGCACTCCACCCTTTGACTTGATCCACTAGTTCTTGTAACCTCTGCCTGCACTCCACCCGTTGACTTGATCCACTAGTTCTTGTAACTTCTGCCTGCACTCCACCCGTTGACTTGATCCACTAGTTCTTGTAACTTTTGCCTGCACTCCACCCGTTGACTTGATCCACTAGTTCTTGTAACTTCTGCCTGCACTCCACCAGTTGACTTGATCTACTAGTTCTTGTAACTTCTGCCTGCACTCCACCCGTTGACTTGATCCACAAGTTCTTGTAACCTCTGCCTGCACTCCACCCGCTGACTTGATCCACTAGTTCTTGTAACTTCTGCCTGCACTCCACCAGTTGACTTGATCCCCTAGTTCTTGTAACTTCTGCCTGCACTCCACCAGTTGACTTGATCCACTAGTTCTTGTAACTTCTGCCTGCACTCCACCCGCTGACTTGATCCACTAGTTCTTGTAACTTCTGCCTGCACTCCACCCGTTGACTTGATCCACTAGTTCTTGTAACTTCTGCCTGCACTCCACCCGCTGACTTGATCCACTAGTTCTTGTAACTTCTGCCTGCACTCCACCCGTTGACTTGATCCACTAGTTCTTGTAACTTTTGCCTGCACTCCACCCGTTGACTTGATCCACTAGTTCTTGTAACTTTTGCCTGCACTGCACCCGTTGACTTGATCCACTAGTTCTTGTAACTTTTGCCTGCACTCCACCCGTTGACTTGATCCACTAGTTCTTGTAACTTTTGCCTGCACTCCACCAGTTGACTTGATCCACTAGTTCTTGTAACTTTTGCCTGCACTCCACCCGTTGACTTGATCCACTAGTTCTTGTAACTCGTGCTTGTGATAAGTGTCTCGGCAAAGATGGACTCCGAATAGGCCATCCTAACCTCTATTCCTTACTCGGCAAACTGAGTGAGCTTTCGCTAGACTTTACGGTTTCCTATTTTTTTTTTTTTTTTTTTGAATAATCGAAGGGCGTCTAAACAACACAATCAATGATAATAAAGCGAAAATGGTAGGGTCCTAATTAATTCGTTCAAATGAAGTAAGAAAATTACAGAATGATTAGTTTAAACTCTTTCAAATATTCCCGTAGACGTAATGTTTAACCCGACAGGTGCAGGCCATGTCAGGCTGGAAGTCAAGCCCTAAAATCAGTAAACATTTTTCACTGGTTACCTTTATC